GTGGGCTTAACTCTCTCGTTCACCTGTCCAAGCTACACAAGCTCCCCAGCTGCCTCCCTTGTAAAAAACTTGTCACTGTCTGCAGAGCTTGGGGTCCTCAGCGTCCATCACTTTGGACATTTTGGGCCCAGGCACCGCTTGGGGGGTGGGGAGGAGTGACCGAGTGAGCCTGAAAGAGGGAAGGTGGTCGCTCCCGCTCCTGCGGACATGCCTGAGGAGTAGTGGAGTCACGTGGAGCAGCACCATATAGAGACATCGCCATCTGAGTTGTCCAGGAAGGCTGGGTCAACTCAGAGGCCTGTAGGAGAGGGAACTTCCCATTCGCCCTAACCCAGGTCCCTGGAGCGGGCGCGGACTACATGTCCCAGCACACACCGCGGGCGCCTCTTGGGCTCGCACACAAGACTTATGAACCACGTCGTGCTTTCTGCAACTGAGGCTCAACCAGCATCTCGAGATGGAGAACTACAACCTCCGAACAGCTCCATCACTCCAGCAGGCGCGATTTTACAAGCGTCAGAGAGACCACGACCCTACTCAGTTCCGCTCCCCTCAGAGGTGCAAAGGGGGTGGAGGGGCGGAGCCTCAGCTCGAGCCAAGATGGCGACTGCAAAGCCATACCTCACGGACTCGCTCTCGTTCTACCTCGCGCAGCTCACGGTGGTGGCCGGGGAGGGCTTGGGTGAGGGAAAGGACACGACTATCAAGGAGACACCCCTGGACCGTGTGCTCCTAGCCCTCCGCACGGGCCACATCAAGGCAGCCGGGGGAATGGAGCGCTTCCGGGCACACGGCGGGCTCCACCCCCTGCTTGCGCTGCTAAGGTGAACAGCAGCCACGCAGCCTGCCCTTCCCCAGGCAAGCCCTGGCTCCGCCTCCTTAGCGGGTTTGAATGGCTCCGCCCCCTCCGCTGCTTCCTCAGCTAAGACTTGGCCTCCTGTGTAAGACGCTGGACTTGGCTCTCAGCATCCTAGCCAACTGCTGCACCGATGGGGCGTGCCGGGCTGAAGTGCACAGGCTCAGAGGCATCCTCTCTTTGGTTACCATTCTTCAGTGCGTGAAGACATCCAGAACCAAACAGCCCGAGCGCTGGAGTACTTGGCCATGGAACCCGAGAGCTGCAGGGACATCCACTCTGCTGGTGCTCTTCCTCAGCTCCTCGAGAGCCTGACAGCGTGCCAGGACTCGCAGTGCCTGCAGAGTGTGGGTACGTGCCCTCCGCAACCTCGCGGACTCCCCCCAGCACCGCCTGGCCCTGGCCCAGCAGGGAGCCGTGCGTCCACTGGCTGAGCTCCTGGCCTCCACTCCAGACCCCACGCTGACCTCTGCCCTGGTCCGTGCCCTCCTGGAGCTGAGCCGAGGCTGCTCCCGGGCCTGTGCTGAGCAGCTGAGTCTGGGCGGGGGGGGGGCTCGGCCCACTGGTCAGCCTTGCCTCTCACCCCAAAGGGGCTGTGTGCGAGGCTACCATCCTGACCCTCGCCAACGTGTGTGCCCAGGGCCTGGTGCAGCCTGCGCCAGGGAATGCTGGCGGTGTGGAGGTGCTGCTCGGAGAGCTGCGGCGGCTCCGGGGCTCCAACAGGGCCAGCCCGACCTCCCTGCAGTCCCTGGTGCGGGCCGTGTGTCTGCTCTGCAGGGAGGCCATCAACTGGGCTCGGCTTTGGGACGCTGGTGGTCTGGAGCTGCTGATGGGCCTGCTGCGCGACTCCCAGGCCAGAGCCTGGCACCCTCGTGTTGTGGCCGCCCTTGTGGGCTTCCTCTATGATGCCGGGGCCCTGAGCCGTCTGCAGGCTTTGGGCCTCGTGACCCTCCTGGCGGGGCAGCTCTGTGGCGAAGCTGGTGAAGAGGAAGAAGGGCAAAGAAGCTGCTTCCTGGGATTTCCCTGAGGAGCGGATCCCCGAGTGGGCAGAGCCTGGAAGTCTCCGCAGCCTCAGATCGTGGCTCATTTCCGAGGGCTACGCTTCTGGCCCTGGAGACATCTCTCCCGACTGGTCCCCTGAGCACTGCCTGCCCCCAGAGTCCTCAGAGCCATCCAGCCCGGTCCCAGGCGCAGTCTCACTGCAGTCCCCATGCACACTGTGCATCCGCCAGATGCAGCTCGGCTGCCACGCCCGAAGAGCCCTGGGGACAAGAGGGCCCAGCACTGCTGCTGCTGTCACGCTTCTCCCAGGTTCCTGACCCAAGCGGAGCACTTGTGACGGGGCCAGCACTGTGCGGCCTGCTAACCCTACATGACCGGGGCACCTGGTCTGCCAAACCCGCGCACACTGCGCATCCTGGCTCGCCTCACCTGCACCCCGCCTGCCTGGAAGCCTTCGTGAGGATCTATGGTGCCACGCTGCTGCGAGCCTGGCTGGTGCTCGGTGTTGCGCCCGACGACTGGCCTGCCCTGTGGGCACGCCCTGCCAGCCACTGCCAGCACCGGGAACTAGGTGAGATGCTGCTGCAGGACCTGACCGTGCAAGCCGAGTCTCCCTTTGTAACACGGGCCCTGACCCACCTGCTGCTCACAGGGAGCCCCGAAGACCGTGTGGCCTGTGCACTGACTTTGTCCTTCATCTGCGGGAAACCCTCTGTGTTGCGCCGGCTACTTCTGGACAACGGAAGCCTCTGTCTCCTCCTCGCATCACTAACCCAGCCAGCCCCGCACCCCCTCTTCCCCTTCTTTCCTACAGACACTTTGTCCTGCCTCCAGAGCCTGATGTCTCCCACTGGGGGCCCAGTCCTACCGTCTGCAGTTTCCATGGACCTTGACCCACCTTCCCCTTGCCTCTATGAACCTCTGCTGCGCCCAGCCCCGGCCCTGACGCCTGATTTGCACTTCCTCCTGGACTCAGGCCTGCGGCTCCCCGCCCGGCAGGCTACCTCTTCTACCGCCTCCCCATTCTTCCGGGCCCTGCTGGCTGGCAGTTTTACTGAGGAAGGCAAGGCCAGGCCAGGTCTCTGACTCATGGTCTCTGATGACTCATGGTCTCTGCTGCCTCACAGTCTCTGCTGACTCATCGTCTCTGCTGACTCATTGTCTCTCCTGACACTTGGTCTCTGCTGAGTCATGGTCTGTGCTGACTCATGGTCATGCCCTGGAGAGCAAGGCCAGGCCAGGCTGGGCAAGGCCCCGGAGGGCAAGGACAGTCCGGGTAAGGCCAGGCCGGTCCAGGCCTCGAAGTGCAAGGCCAGGCTGGGCCAGGCCCCGGAAGGCAAGGCCAAGCCGGGCCAGGCCCCGAAGGGCAAGGCCAAGCCGGTCTAGGCCCCGGAGGGGAGGGCCAGTCTAGGCCAGGCCAGGCTGGGCTGGGCCAGGCCCCGGAGGGCAAGGTCAGAATGGGCCAGGCCCCGGAAGGCAAGGCCAAGCCGGGCCAGGCCAGGCTGGACCAGGCCCCGGACGGAAGGCCAGGCCGGGCCAGGCCCCAGAGGGCAAGGCCAGGCCGGGCCAGGCCCCGGAGGGCACGGCCAGGTCGAGCCAGGCCCCGGAGGGCAAGGCCAGGCGGGGCCAGGACCCGGAGGGCACTGCCAGGCCGGGCCAGGACCCGGAGGGCAAGGCCAGGGCAGGCCAGGCCCCGGAGGCCCAGGCCCATGAGGGCAAGGCCAGGTGAGGCAAGGCCCAGGAGTGCAAGGCCAAGCCGGGCCAGCCTAGGCCGGGCCAGCCTAGGCCGGGCCAGGCCCCGGAGAGCCAGACCAGGCCGGGCCAGGCCCCGAAGGGCAAGGCCAAGCCGGTCTAGGCCCCGGAGGGGAGGGCCAGTCTGGGCCAGGCCAGGCCGGGCTGGGCCAGGCCCCGGAGGGCAAGGCCAGAATGGGCCAGGCCCCGGAAGGCAAGGCCAAGCCGGGCCAGGCCTGGCTGGACCAGGCACCGGAGGGCAAGGCAAGGCAGGACCAGGCCCCGGACGGAAGGCCAGGCCGGGCCAGGCCCCGGAGGACACGGCCAGGCCGGGCCAGGCCGCAGAGGGCACGGCCAGGCCCCGGAGGGCCAGGCCAGGCCAGGCCATGCTGGGCCAGGTCCATGAAGGCAAGGCCAGGCATGGCCAGGCCCATGAGGGCAAGGCCAGGCCGGGCCAGGCCCCGGAGAGCCAGACCAGGCCGGGCCAGGCCCCGGAGGGCAAGGTCGGGCCGGGAGCGGCCCCGGAGGGCAAAGCTAGGTGGTGCCAGGCCCTGGAGAGCAAGGCCAGGCTGGGCCCGGCACCAGAGGGCAAGGCCAGGCGGGGCCAGGACCTGGAGGGCAAGGCCAGGCCGGGCCATGCCCCGGAGGGCAAGGCCAGGTGGGGCCAGGCCAGGTCTCTTATTTATAGTCTCTGGCCAGGCCAGGTCTCTGACTCATGGTCTCTGATGACTCATGGTCCCTGCTGACTCATGGTCTCTGCCAAGTCATGGTCTCTGTTGTCTCATGGTCACTCCTGACTCATCGTCTCTGCTGACTCATTGTCTCTCCTGACTCTTGGTCTCTGCTGACTCATGGTCTTTGCTGACCCATTATCATGCCCCGGAGGGCAAGGCCAGGCCGGGCCAGGCTAGGCCAGGCCAGGCACTGGAGGACAAGGCCAGGCCGGGCCAGGCCCGGGAGGGCAAGTCCAGGCAGGGCTAGGCCGCGGAGGTCAAGGCCAGGCCGGGCCAGCCTAGGCCGGGCCAGGCCCCGGCGAGGATGGCCAGGCCGGGCCAGGCCAGGCCAGGCCGCGGAGGGCAAGGCCAGGCCGCGCCCAGCCCTGGAGGGCAAGGCCAGGTGTTGCCAGGGCCCAGAGAGCAAGGCCAGCCTGGGTATGACACCAGAGGGCAAGGCCAGGCCGGGCCAGGCCAGATCGGGCCAGGCCCTGGAGGGCAAGGCCAGGTGCGGCCAGGCCAGGTCTCTTACTTATAGTCTCTGGCCAGGCCAGGTCTCTGACTCATGGTCTCTGATGTCTCATGGTCTCTGCTGAGTCATGGTCTCTGCCAAGTCATGGTCTCTGCTGCCTCATGGTCACTGCTGACTTATCATCTCTGCTGACTCATTGTCTCTCCTGACTCTTGGTCTCTGCTGACTCATGGTCTCTGCTGACCCATTGTCGCCCCGCTGGCCAACGGGCGAGGCCCCTAAGCCACAGGACTTCTTGCCACCCACAGGCACCTTTCGGACTCCGCGAAGCACCCAAGGCCAGAGGAAGGCCCTCTGGGACACGTGAGCGAGCCTTGCGGGGAAGCTCGGGGCCGCAACACCCAAGGTGTTCTGGCCCAGGCCTCCCCTTTCCGTCTAGCGAGGCAAAGAGTTCGGGCCCATGGCAAGGAGGAGCCCTGTGCCATCTATGGCCCGCCAGGGCAAGAGGCCTTCAGTTCTTGCCAGTGGGCAGCCACACTGTGGGCAGCCGGGCAGCAGGCACCCTCCACCCTGGCTCTCTCAAGCCCTTCCTTCCATGCCCTCCTTCCTCCCTCATGCTCTCTCGCTGTGACAGCACAGTGGACTGGAGCTTGAGCTCCATGGGCTTGGCAGCGGTGGTGCAGGGGCCGCAGCGTCGCCTCTTCTCTGGGCCCCGATCCCTCCTGCCACCCACCCCACCCCCACCCCTGACCCCCACCTCCCCGCCAGGCCTCCACCTGCAGGGCTTTGCTCGGGGAGAGGGGGGAGGCGGTGAGTGGCAGAGCGCAGCAGAGCTGGGATGGTGGTGGAGGTGGTGGTGCTGGCCTTTGATAGATAAAGGAGTGCCCCTTCCTTCCCTACACACACACACACACACACACACACACAACCCTCCCCCCAGCAGTTTGGCCTTTCCTGAGGTGCCTGCCTGGCCTCACTCTGGCGGCAGGTGGCTGAGGTGCCTCGGGGCGATTTTGGGCAGGGCTGCTGCGGGTGTAGGCGGAGCTCCAGGGAGACTGGCTGGACAGACACCTTTCCAGTCACTCCGGGCAGCGAGGTCAAGGACAGCGAAAGAAGACGGTGTGGACACAGCTGACGTGGCGGCGGTGGTGTCGCTTGCGGAGGGGCCGTGCGGGGGATCTGTACTGTCTACCTAGTCTCGGTTCGACGACTCCATTTTCTTCGGTAGGGGCTCAGCGCTTTAGCTGGGAGTCGGTCCTCTCCAGGGTAGAAGAAGCTGCAAAGATGTCCGATTTTGTGAAGAGGGAAGCTGAAGTGTCAGAAGAAGAATACAACGATGACAGCGAGGTGGAGCCCCGAGTTACCAAGAAATTGGTGCAAGAGGAAGATGATGATGAGGAGGAGAACCTGGATGATCAAGACGAGCAAGGGAACCTGAAAGGCTTTATCAATGATGACGATGATGAAGAGGAAGGGGAAGAGGATGAAGGTAGTGACTCTGGTGATTCAGAAGATGATGTCGGCCATAAGAAGAGGAAACGAACATCTTTTGACGACCGTCTGGAAGATGATGATTTTGACCTCATTGAGGAGAATCTGGGAGTCAAAGTCAAATGAGGACAAAAGTACAGACGTGTCAGAAAAATGTTAGATGAGGAGGATGCCGACGAGGAGGAATATGGCAAAAAGGAACGTGAAAAAGAGGCTATTGCCAACGAAATCTTCCAAGATGGGGAAGGAGAAGAGGGTCGGGAGGCCATGGAGGCCCCCATGGCTCCTCCGGAGGAAGAGGAAGAAGATGACGAAGAATCAGACCTTGATGACTTCATTGTGGATGATGATGGTCAGCCTCTGAAAAAACCTCGGTGGCGGAAAAAAATCCCTGGATACACAGGCGCGGCTCTGCAAGAAGCCCAGGAAATTTTGGGGGTGGACTTGGACTATGACGAATTTGAAAAAGACAACGCACGTGATGAGGAACTGGAGGAAGAATATGAATACGAGGACGATGAGGCTGAGGGTGAAATCCGAGTACAGCCCAAGAAGACCAGCAAGAAGCGTGTGAGCCACAGGAGCGCCTTTGAGATGTATGAGCCCAGTGAGCTGGAGAGCAGCCACCTCACCGATCGGGATCGTGAGATCCGAGCCACGGACCTGCCCGAGAGGTTCCAGCTTCGATCCATCCCAGTCAGAGGGGCAGAAGATGATGAACTAGAAGAAGAAGCCAGACTGGATCTATAGGAATGCCTTTGCCACACCAACCATTTCCCTGCAGGAGAGCTGTGATTACCTGGACTGAGGGCAGTCAACAAGCAGCTTTAGTAGAAAAGGGCCCAGTACCATTCGGAAGATCAAAGCAGCCCTGGGCTTCATGCGAAATCAGCATTTCGAGGTGCCTTTTATTGCATTCTACCGAAAGGAGTATGTGGAGCCCGAACTGCACATTAACAACCTCTGGAGAGTGTGGCAGTGGGATGAGAAGTGGACTCAGTTGAGAATCTGCAAAGAGAACCTTAGGCGGCTGTTTGAGAAGATGCAGGCTTACCAATATGAGCAAATCTCTGCTGAGCCTGACAAACCTCCTGCCGACGGCATCCGGGCTCTGGACACCACAGACATTGAGAGGCTTAGAGATGTACAGTCAATGGACGAGTTTAAAGATGTGTACGACCATTTCCTACTTTATTATGGTCGTGACATCCCCAAGATGCAGAATGCTGCCAAAGCAAGCCGCAGGAAGCGGAAGCGCATAAGAGAGGAAGGAGACGAGGAAGGTAAAGGTGAAGCGGCAGAAGGGGAGGAGCAGAGGGGACCAGAGTTCAAGCAGGCCTCTCGACGAGATATGTATACCATCTGCCAAAGCGCTGGGCTAGATGGCCTGGCCAAAAAATTTGGGCTTACTCCGGAGCAGTTTGGAGAGAACCTCCGGGACGGCTACCAGCGGCACGAGACTGAGCAGTT